GTAAGGCGGCTATATTACATGTATCTAAAAAGCATCTAGTATCTAATAAGGCATTTCAGATACCGGGTATCTGGGAATTATAATAATTACTATTAAAAAATTCGCTCTTTTTATAAATAAATACTTTTTATAATAAGATAATAAATTAGCTAAAACTAAAAAAAGTATTAAAAATAATTATTATAGTATTAGGACTAATATAAAGCCTTAACTAAATAATTACTAGCCTTTTAAACTCAAGAATAATAGTAATAATATAATTAATATAGTTCTAATAATAATAATTTTAATAATATTAGAGAAATTAATAAAATTAGTAAAGTTATTATAAAAAGCCTTTAATTATAATTATATAAGCTTAACTTTTAAGTAATTATTATAAATTATATTACTAATATTAAAGAATTAAAGCCAAACTTTATAAAAAAAGCTATTTTAAAGTATTATATAATATTATATTAAATCTAATCTAAAATTAAATTAAAAAAAATTAATTTCGAATTTCTAAAAATAATATAATAACTTTTCTTTATTATATATATATAAATAATTATTATATATTCAAGAATTATTAATTTAATATAATTAAATAAAAATAATATTATATTAAGTTTAATTAATTAAATAAAACTATTATTAAAAAAGCTAAGTATTTTACTTAAAAATATTTAATTAATTAATTATTCTATTATTAATATTTTTTAAAAACTTATATATTATTATTTTATAAAATTAAAATTAAAATAATTAAAAAAAAGTATATTACTTTTATAAATTTAATTTTAAAAATAAATACTAAATAAAGTATTTTATATCTTTATAATATAATTTTTCTTATTAATATTAAATAGCTTATTTTTATTAATAGCTTTTTTATTTAATATAAAAAATAATAAATATGAATTTATAATTATAATATATTAATTATATTAAAGCAAGAAAATTAATATATTAGAAATAAGTTCTAAAATTATAATAAATAAGTTATTTTTAATATTAATATAAAATTAGCTAAATATTATAAATAATTTTTACTTTAATATATATTATAATTTATTAAAGCTATTTAATTTCTTATATAATATCTTTAATTTAAGGCTAAAAAATAAGCTAATATATATAATACTTTTTTTATTTAATTTCTTAGATCTTAATTTTTATAATAATTACTAAAATTTATATTTAACTAAAAATATATATTTATTAGATTTAAAGTAATTAAATAAGAAGAAATAAATAAATTTAGGGCTTATTAAAAAACTAAAAAGAAGGCAAGATAAAAAAGTATTATAAAGAAAATATAAGAGTAATTAAGATATAAAAAAGCTTAATATAATAAAAAAAACTATAAAAAACTATTTTATTAAGCTAAATATATATTATTATTTATTCTTATTACTTTTATTTCTTTTATTTAATAAAGTAAACGATTTCCTTAATATTAATAATTTCTATAATAATTATTATTTTATAATTATTATAAGTTGGTTTTAGCTAAGATTTTAAGCTAAGCTTTAAATACTTAATATTTTAGGAATTTTAGTTTTATTTATTTATTATTATATTTTTTTTTCTTTTTAGCTTTAGATTTTATAAAATAAGAAAATTTTTTATATCTAGATTTTATTACTTTACTTTATAATTACAATTTCCTTTATATTAATAACTTCCTTAATATTAATAATATTTTACTATTATTACTTGCTTTTATTAGCTTATTAATACTAATTATAACTTAAACTAATTATTCTAGACTTCTTAAATCTTAAAATATAAAGCTATTAGTAATATTTAAAGCATTTATAGCTTTATAATATCTTAAATATATGTCTTTCTTTTTTTTGAACTTATTTTTTTTATAAATTCGAACTTTAATTAAAATATTCTTATTTAATAATAATTCTAATAATAATTCTAATTTTTTTAACTTTATTTAGCTTCCTATAATTTAAGAACCTTTATAATATATACCTTTTATATTAATTATACTAGCTTGTTTTATATAAATTACTTTTCTTTTATTCTTGCTTTTCTATTAACTAAATTATTTTATAAATATATTTGTAAACTTATAAAAAAGCAAGTATTTTAGAATTATTAGAAAAAGAAAAAGAATATAAAAAGAATATTAGTAAAAAGAAAAAGAAAACAAAGATAAGAAATAAAATATAATTAATAAATATATAAATAAATATATTATTAGTTTTTAGGCTTACTAAAATTATTAACTAATATTATAGCTTTATTTACTTTTTATTTCTCTTTAAATTAATTTTTCTTATAATTAATTTCTAGCTCGAATTAGCTTTTCTTATATATATAAATAAAGTAATTTTCTTAATTTATTTTATAAAAATTAGTAAAGCTATAGTTTTTAGTTAAATATATAATTATATAATTATTATAACTAGTTTTAATTCATATATATATTTGTATTTTTTAGAATTAAGTTTTAGAGAAATTTTAAAGCTTATTATATAATTATATAAATTCTTATTAAGTAATAATAATATTAGAAATATAATAGAATTAAGCTTATTTATAAAAAATTATAAGAATTAAATATATTAGTAAACTTATTACTTATAACTTATAACTTATAACTCGGGTATTTATTTTATTAAAAATTACTTGTAATTAAAATACCTTATTTTATATATATAATTTTATTTAATTCAAATTCCTTTATTATTATTTATTATTAAACTTATATATATATAATTAAATTATATTTCTAAATATATATTATTAATTATAATATTATTAATTATAATATTATTAATTATAATATTATTAATTATAATATTATTAATTATATTAGCTTTATATTATTATTTTTATATTTCTTTATTCTCTTTTTTATTTTTACTAATATATAATTAGTTATATATATATAAAAAAAACAAAAAAACAAAAAAACAAAAAAATTATATTAAAGAATTAATTATAAAGAATATATTTGAAATAGCTAATTTATAAGAAATATATTTAAAGTTAATAGTTTATAAAAAGTATATTTGAAATTAATAATAATAAATAAAAATATACTTAAAGTAATTAGTTAATAAGTAATATATTTGAAACTAATAATAATAAATAAAAATAAATAATAAATAATATTTACTAATTCTTTAATATAAAGCAGTCTTATTATTATATTTTTATATTTTAAATTATTATCTTTATTTTTTAATTTTTAATTTTTAATTTAATTTCTTTAAAATTACTTTTATTTAAAATTTTATATATTATTATATTATAGCTTATTATAAAAAATACTAAAAGTAAAAGAATATTAGCTCTTTTTATAATTATTATAATATTGTTTTTCTTTTCTTAAGCCTAATTATATTTACTTTAAAGGAAAAGTATTTATAAAAGGCTTATAAACTAAAGTTAAAGCCTTTTATTTCTTGTATTTTAAAACTAATAAATAAAATAATAATAATAATAATAATAATAATAATAATAATAATAATAATAATAATAATAATAATAATAATAATAATAATAATAATAATAATAATAATAATAATAATAATAATAATAATAATAATAATAATAATAATAATAATAATAATAATAATAATAATAAAAATAATAATAATAATAATAATAATAATAATAATAATAATAATAATAATAATAATAATAATAATAATAATAATAATAATAATAATAATAATAATAATAATAATAATAATAATAATAATAATAATAATAATAAGTATTTAAATAAAGAAAAATAAAGATTTTATAAGAAGCTATAAATAAGTAATATTTATTAATATATAAAAAAGAAAATAATTTTTAAAACTAGATTTTTAAAAAGGTTCTTAAAATAAAACTTTAGTTATAATATATATATTAAATTATAATATAATATAAAGTTAAATAAGCTTCTTTTTATAAGTAAATAAAAATTAGTTATAGCTTTATATATTTATTTATTTATTAATATTTACTTAAATAAATATTTAAATAAATCTTATTTTTATATTAGCTAATTTTAATATAAAAATAAATATAAATAAAGGTAATAATATTTAAAATAAAAGAAATAAGTAAAATTAAAAAGAAATATAAGATATATTATTTTTTTAATAAATTATATATATATTAATATTTCTAGTATTATTATATTATATAATTTTTTTAAATCCTTAAAATAAATATTTCAAAAATAAAAAGTACTAAATATTATATAATATTAAAGGCTAGTTCTTGCTTTATTTATAAATTTACTTATTACTCTTATTTTAAATAGCTTATTACTTGATTAAATATATTAATATTTTATTATATATAATATTATAATTCTTATATATTCTTATAAAAGGTACTAGATAAGCATTTTTCCTGCCAGATTTGTTTACAAACTTTCCCAACCCTTTTTGCGACTCTCAATCTCGAGGCCTTGAGGTTGGTTGCTTTAAGCCAAAGCACCTTGTGAATTTAGCGCAACTCCCGCTATAGTTTTAGGGGCTTAGGCTCGAGCGGCAAAAAGAGCGCAACCTCGCGAAACAGGTTCAACTTCTTCCTGTTCTTCTTTCCTGTCAAGTAACCTGCAATGATTGAAGGCACAGGGAGGAAACTAGAAGGCGTGAAGCAAGGCCTTGCAGGGTGGTATTGATGCAAAATCATGAGCGCTGGTGGAAATGCTGGGTTGGAGTGATGCAGCGAAAACCTGAATCTGGCTCGGCTTCGGGAAACAGAAGATACTCCTTGAAGATGCTGAAAATATTCAACAAAACTGGAGAAAGAAAGTATCCTTGAAATGCAGACTTCTGCATCGAAAAGCTATTCGAGATCCGGAGTCCGCTATAAGCTGTGGAGACCGGCATGTCCTGCCATTCTGACCGACTTAGTGGTACGTAGACTTGTTAAGTAAATTCACCGCAAGGCGGCTTTCGAGTATCTGTACCTTCAAAATTTACTCCACCAAATCGTCTCAATATTCCCGGCTTTCGAGATGAAGCGGTAGATTGAAAATCTCCCTGCGGTCATAACATCATAAAACAGATCTAAAATTGTTCTAAATAGTAATATAAGCTAGCCCGGCGCCAGCTGAATATATCATGCTTTGGGTTGTTACTGGCCATAATTCCTCTCTTTGTACTCTTTACCCGACTTTCTCGAATCTCAAAATCAACTTTCCTGCCCTTGGCCCTGCAATAAATTCATCCACTGGCTCAATCCCTTCCGCATCCACGATATGCGAACTATAATTGGTGTATACTGCTGCTAACATAACGAGCATTTCTACGCATGAGTGGTTAGCACAGTCATGGAAGAAAACATAGATAAAACCCGAGGGTAAAAGAATGAGAATGAACCAAAGCAAAGAACTCACCTTGTATCGCAAACGCTTTCCCAATACATCCCCTAGACCCACTCCCAAACGACCAAAACCACTCCGCAACCTCCTTCTTTCGCTCTCCCATCCACCTCTCCGGCAACCACTCCTCAGCCCGCTCAAACACCTCTTCATTCCGATGCACCGAGTACGGCGCCGCATGTGCCACTACACCCTCTGGAAGCATAAACCCATGCAGCATGGCTCCTCCACGTGGTGCCACACGAGGTTGGCCCGCAGCACCAGGTGGGTATAACCGCAATGTCTCGTAAAGCGTAGCATTTAGAAGTGGAAGAGCATCCAAAGCGCGGGGGATAGCAGAAGGAGGGATAACAATGGAGGGTGAGAAAGCACTGCGTCCATAGGTAGAGGGTGGAAAGAGGAGAGGTGGATTGATAGAGCGTAATTCCGCGCGGAGAGCGGTTTGGAACTCTGGGTGCATTGAGAGCTCATACATGGCGTAGGTGAGGTTGATGCCTGAAGTTTCGTGGCCGGCGATGAGGTGACATAGCATATCTGAGGCGACAGACTTGCGGAGGAAGTCTGGACCTTCGATTGGGGAAGGAGTTGTCTTTTCCGTGCTTTTAGTCTGGGAGGATAATCGTTGCGCGTAGACGACCGGAGCAGTGCTTGTGGGGTCGATGGAGTTATTCTCGATGGCGGCATGGACAAGTGAGCACAGCTTCCAGCACATGTTCTCCATGTAAGCTTGGCCGTCCAGGGCCGCCTGCGCAACGAGGTTGATGCCGATTCGTTCCAGGTTCTGGGTTAGAGTTGGTAAGCGTCCTGCCCAGAAGAAGCCGTTCTTGACGACTGCGAAGGCCTTGAGGAAGTGAAGGCAGGCATCTTCATCGTCGAGGAAGTCAGTGCCATAGGCACTGCCAAATTCGTATGCCGACACCGTATCCATGCTGAAAGCCATATTGAGACGTAGGACATCAATCGAAGCCCCAGTAGTGGCAGAAGTAGCAATTTTGGGAAGGACTTTCTTTGTTAAGATGCGAGAATTGAACGCGGAGATGTCTGACGAGTTTTGGACGTAGGATTTGGAGTATACATTTGAGAATAGACGTTTATGGGCCGAGTGTGGTCCAGAGTGGATTTTGGCGACTAAGGGAGGTGTCCCGTAGTTGATGAATGCTTCATACCAAGCGTTCTTCTCCCAATCCCCATAAATCGTCTTCAGGCCATCGAGTGTGCACACACTCACCTCCTCTGGCGCGAGGCGTACGACTGGTCCGAGCCGTTTGTGAGCATCCCATACCGTGCGGTTCTCGCGCTTGCGGTACCGGATCGAGATCAGCCATATCGAGGAGAAGGGAACGGTGGGATGTGCGTTGGGGATAGCGTTGAGGGGTCGGAGCCTACCAAAGTTCTTTTGGACGAAGTAGAGGATCAGCAGGAGGGGCGGAAGGAGAAGCCCCAGGGTCAGAGAGGCCATGAGAGGGACTAGTGGAGGGTCTGCACTGGGGGAAGGAGATCAGAGGCGGGACGGGTCCGAGACCGAGGGAGGAAACAAACTAGCCGCTTGGTATTGCACACGGGTGATGAAAGGAGATGCGAACCCGGATATTGACCTTTCTTGACAGAATATCCAGTAATCTCTCTTGTCTTCGGGCACCTCGACCTGCATCAGCCGCCATCACCCAATAGCCCCCCAGTTGTGAAAAGAACTCGGCGGAAAATCATTTGACTCTGGGGCGGACAACGGGGAAGCTGCCCGCTAACGTATCTCCGTAGCGCCGGGGCAGCTGCAGAATTCGTTAGAGTGGCCTATCAGGGCAAACTTTGATAGCGTGTGTCGGGGTGATATTGTGGCTTCACAGCGTGGGAGGAGCCCTGGAGAAAACCCGAGCTCCCCGCCCCACCCCACTTCTACCGCCTGTACCTAGCCAGATTTTAGTGAGCAGCTATGGCCGACTCTTGCGCAACACCGCACAAGTTCGACCTTCCTCCAGAGTTCAATAGTTTTATCCAAGCGTACCAGGAGATTTGATACCAGTTACTTGGATATTTAATTCCTTTGAATACAAACTTCCCGTTGCGTGGGTTTATGTTCGAACACAAAAGCGAACTGTTATCTGAGAGCTGGATCAGGGAGCCAGGTTGAGACAATCACGGAACTGACATATTTTGAGCCGGAAGCTTTTTTGCGTGTTCGACGACATGTCTAGCCTTTTTTGAGAAGTCTACAAAATTGTATTCTCAAAAGCTCGAAACAACTCAAAACGCCCCCAATCCGAGTCCCAAGAATCCAGCATACCGCCAACTCCTTCTATTAAAATACACGAACCCTCCAAAATTGTCGTCCAAAATCATCAAATGTGGCTGCCTCTCCCACGTTACAGTGCTATCCCGTGTTCCACCGTGTACGTCCTTTCCTTCCTGATAATCATTTGCTGGCTATCGTTGCTCCGTGTACTGACCCCATCGTCGCCAAGCGGAAAACCGTGCATCACAGTCGCAGTATGACTGACCGAATCTCCTCGTAACATCCTGTGATTCATAGTGTTCCCGTGCACTGGTTCATAATTTATGTTCCAATTATCCTGACCCTCCAATTGTTCGGGTTCCACCTTATTTTGGTGAAATGTGCCTTGCGAAACGTTCGACGCAGATTTATTGCTCTTCCCAAAGAGATCTCGAAGGCCATAGCTGCCGCTTGGGCTGGAATCTGTGAATTCAGTCTTCGGTTGCTCGCCCCAGTTTGTGCTAATTGTTGACATGAAGGGCTTGAGGCAGGGAGTTGTTGCTGTCACAACGGAGAAGGCAATTTCGACTTGTGTCCAGGCGGAGAAGAATACGCCGTCGAAGCTGGGATCGGTGGTGAAAAACGCTCGGAAAAAGAAGTGGATCCTCAGGACGCAAAAGATAATAGTGCTGATACTGTTAGACTTAGGGATTAAGAGGGAAGTGAGGAAGACTTACGGCAGGCGGATACCGAAGGCCGCGATGACTATGGCCTTTTGCGACAGCGGCATGCGTACACCTGCAACGAGGAAGAAAGACATTCCAAATATAGCGACCTCTGAGATAATATTGAAGGCTGTTATGACTTGCCACCGTACAAGCTGTAATGGCACATCGTCAGTTCGCAAAACAGGGTCCATGTTCCTAGTGGTTTATTCAAGCTGCTCAGGAATAGCTTACCATTGACGGACATTGGTCAGATGTGATGTCTGTCCACGGGTTTCGTATATGGCATCGTAGACTGATAGCCCCAAGGGATGCAATGGTCCAGACGAGAACAAAATACCGAATGCATTTGGCCGCCTGCAAGTGTTTCTTGTACGGGCTAAGTCGAATAAATAGGAGATCGAGAGAGTGTTTCGACAGAGCCAGCGTGACTATATACAAAATGTCTGCAGCGTAGACCAACTGTTTCTCAGGGCGAGGAGTTAGCTTAGTTCATGGCCAGCTTAAATCTTCGAAAGTGCTTGCAAGTGGGAGAGTTGTAAAAAAACCTTTGGAGTCTACGTACCTTTTCTGCCGAGACCAAGTTGAATGGATCAATACCCTCTATGACTCTGCCCCACCCATGGTGGACGGACACACATACAACTGATGATTGTGCCAGCGCAACAACCTGCTCTATCTTATGACGAGTTCCATTCCAAGGAGCTCCGATCGAGGGTTTCGTACCGTTGCAAACGCAAATACCGTATCATCTCCCAACCATGGCCCGCTAAAGTTGAAGCGTATGTATATTCGGATGACGAATGTGAGCAGGATCAGCGCAATGCCCGTGGCGGCGACAAGCACAATATCAGGGCTGTGGTCGGTAGGGTTCGCGATCAGGAAAGGAGCTGCCTGCCCCGAAGGTACAGGAGCGTGAGTCGGTGCCGACATGTTAAAATCATGAAGTTGAGTAATAAAAACAAAACTGCCAAGATGGGTACATCCCGCCTAGCTTTATCATATATGGCGAATTCAAAGCTGAAAGACGTGCCTCTCCTTTACCAAGTCCCGATACGTTCCCATGGGGGTGCTACACGGGCGGGTCGGGGGGGCGTTCCTGCCGAAAGACTCCTCCAATGGCACGACCGAGCCATGTCCGATGGAGCCGAAAAGAGCGTCACTCCCGGGGTAGAACCTTCATCTATTCGTTGCTGTTACTCCCCCACGTTGCTTGATAAGGGGTACCCAATTAGAGCCAATTAAGGTTCTTCAACGCTTCAGCACAACCCTGAAAACCAAGGGCCCACAGCTGGGGTTCATGTTTTGAATGGAGAAAAGCAAGTGCACGCTTAGGCGGGGAAAGATCCTACCGATGCGCGAGGGTGTCCGGCATGTCTCACCGGTGGGATGGGTGGTGACAGGAAATTGTTCCAATGGACCAGGGGAAGAAGGCAAACAACGCCACAGGCTGAGAATCCAGGCTCTCTTTGGCGCAACATGCGTGGCCGTCTGCAAGGAGCAAGCATGGCCCTCCGACGCCGCACTTGCTCACTGGCTATTTGCAAGTTTTGTGGGCCCATGTCCAATTCCTTCCAAATACCACCTGCTGAACCGGCCAAAGCGCTGGTGGGAGCTTTCCCCGTCTTTTGGTTGTTGGGGTTCCTTCTTCCATCCTTTATCCACTGCCCAATTGCTGTCTCACTGCAAAGAAGTGGCACAATCTTGTAGCTCAAGCTACCCCATCTTAATACTTTGTTAAGGCGCATTGTAGAGAGAGATCTACCTCCGCAATCATGGCGAGCACCGATTCGAAAGAAATAGGCGTGGAGATGCACGACATAGACGCTGAGCAAGGCGACAATCCCGACATGACGGGTACTCACATATCTGTGAATTCAATAGGTACAGCCTACGATCAACGGGATATGCGTGTGATGGGAAAGCTCCAGGAATTGCGCGTAAGAGATGTATTTAACTGACTTGCGCAACCACTAACCGATTCAGCGAAATTTCCGCTTCATCTCCATTCTAGGCTTTGCTTGTACGCTGATGAGCACATGGGAGATCGTCCTCGCATCGACAGCTTTTGCTCTGGAGAATGGAGGTTCTGCAGGATTGATCTGGACTTTCGTGATAGTTGTAGTGGGCTACTCCTTTGTCTTCGGGTCTTTGGCGGAGATGGCTTCGATGTAAGAGCGCATCCCATATCAGTGGCTCGTGAGTTAACGAGACACAGGGCTCCTACTTCAGGAGGTCAATATCATTGGGTATCTGAGTTTGCGCCGAGAAGATTCCAACGTTTGATGAGCTATATGACTGGATGGGTATGGTTGCAATCTTTGTGTAACAGTAACGTTTGTTTTGCTAATGTTGTCTATATAGCTTTGCGTGTGGGGTTGGGTATGTCCCTATACAACTCGATACTGTTTACGCACATATAAATGCTAATATATCAATAGTTAAGCGGCATTGCAGGAGTTTGCTTCTTCACAGCTCAATTAATCGAGGCCCTCATCATCCTCAACCATCCTACGTTTGTTCCTCAGCCATACCACGCGACACTCCTTATCATAGCTGTTGCTGCGTTCTCCATCTTTTTCAATACGTTTCTTGCTAAGAAGCTACCGCTTGTGGAGGCGATCCTACTCCTCATTCACATTGCTGGCTTCTTCGCCATCCTGATCCCTCTTTGGACCCTAGCTCCACGAGCCAATGCGAAAGACGTTTTTACGACCTTCAACAATGGTGGAGGGTGGAATAGTGAAGGAACATCTGCACTAGTCGGTATTCTAACTGCAGTCATTTCATTGACTGGTTCTGATTCTGCCGCGCATATGTGTATGTTGACTTTCCTTCAATCTATTGTTGAGTTCCATTTAACTGACACGATGCCATAGCCGAAGAAACAAAAGACGCGGGCGTCGTTCTTCCCCGATCAATTATGTGGTCTATTGTTGTCAACGGCTCTCTTGGGTTCATCATGCTAGTCACTTTCTGCTTCACTTTGGGTGATCTTGACTCGATCCTCCAAACACCTACCTACTCGCCTCTCGTCCAAGTGTTCTTCAACACCACGAACTCGTATGCTGGCTCCAACGTCATGACTGCAATCATTATCATCACTCTCATCGCCTCAGCCATCTCCACCATCGCCACCTGCAGTCGCCAACTCTGGGCCTTCGCTCGTGACAAAGGACTTCCATTTTCTTCCATCTTGGCACACGTACGCTCCCCTATCCACTCACCAGCGTATCAGCTAACATCAAGCAGGTCTACCACGGTTGGGACATCCCCCTAAACGCCATCTTCATGAGCTTCATAGTCACCGCCATCCTCTCACTCATCAACCTCGGCAGCACAGTCGCAATCCAAGCCGTCGCCTCTCTCTCCGCCTCAATGCTCCTAACCTCCTACATGGTCTCAATCTCCACCCTTCTTCTCCGACGTTACACAGGCCCTAACCTGCCCACCCGTCGCTGGTCTCTTGGTCGCTGGGGAGCGGTAGTTAACATTGTTGCTTTGTGCTTTTTGAGTGTTTTCTGGATTTTCTCGTTCTTTCCGCCGACGGCGGTGGTGACGACCACGACGATGAATTGGAACTCGTTGATGTTTGCTATTATTGTTGTTGTGGCGTTAGTATATTATTTGTTGAAGGCGAGGCATGAGTACGTTGGGCCTGTTATGTTGGTGAAGCGTGATAGCTAGTGGGAAGTTCTGAGAGAACGGTGGTTCCTGCTGCTGGAGGATGAGCCATTAGTTGATGGTCAGCAACTATGTTGCGTGTCAACTGGTCGCTTTTGGTAGTAGCTACAATTCATGTGACGGTCACGAGGCAACAGAACCTCTCCGGAAGAAGATAGTCCGTTAATTAAATAGGACTTTCTGCTTCCAATTGTCCCGTATTTTGCGTACTGCAAACCTCATGCAGACTTTCTTGCTCGCACTGCAAGGAAGTCGGTGGGGCGACACGCACTCTCTCAATTGGCCTATATCAGACCTCAATATCCTCGTCAGAAGAAACATGATTAAGCGAAGCTTTTCTACACTCCGGCCCTCCTGCCGGCGATCACGTATACCAATTCTATAACAAGCCGTGGCGACTGAGTCTGAAGTCTGGACTTTCACTACCAAAGCCACAATTCAAATGATCTGATACTCTCCCTACCCCACAAGCTTTACTATGAGTCTCTTATAATATTTAGTATTAATGTTTCTCCGTGGGAAAGTTACCATTTCCCCTTTGAATCAATTCCTTTCAGCTCCTTTACGAGTCTTTTACCCCGCACGATGTGTTATCCGTTACACGAAGCTCGCGAAACGAGTACAGACAATCGTTGATAGTACAATAGCAGAGAAGATAGATGCGGGGTGGGCAATACGCATTGCCGTAAGCAGCTCGACGCGGAATATCGTAATGGGAGTTATCAGAGCTATCTATCCAGCGGCATTAATATATGGCAGCCCGAGGCTTGAGACCTTCTCCTTTATACTTGGTATGAGATTAGAGCAAAACCCATATTCCGGAGAGCCAGTAGCAATGGCATATGCATTAAGCTCACCACTAAAGCTTAGATTTCGCAGCATTGTATTACTAATAAGTAATAGAGTAATAATGCTCATACTTAGATAACCTCGATAGCAATCCGGATAAATGCATTTTTGCTATATGTACAAGATTATCCGAATGCTATAAAGAAAAACTTAGGGGGGGAGACAAATCGTCGAATTAAGTACGGTGCCTCTCCATTTATTTGGTGCAATTTACAATGTGCATTATTGTTGTGGCCTTGCGTTTCAATGATTAACAGTAATATGATTCTAGGCCTGACCATCGCTGGTTACAATGCTGTTTCACGCTTTTTTGGTTGCTTTAGACATGGCAGAAATGAAAAACACTCCAGTTGGCAAAGCAAAATTATAAATTGGCAAGATCCCGTTGAATCAATGCTGGGTAGCACGCCCCCTGAAACTTTACGCCCATTTTAAAAGCTTGAGTGTAGTCTTGCATGATCTATCAGTTTAGTGGGAACAGAAATTACATTCTTTTATCTATCGCTGCTACTATTGAATGAGAGACAATAATCTGCTAGAATAGTCTGATCTTGGCACTACAAGCATAAACCCAAACCATATAGTAAACTTCCAAACCGGCTTCGCCTAAACACTGTTAATGTTCCGATATACGGAGGGGGTTTCAAGAATTGAAAACCACCCCATGTAGGCCGGTGAGCTGTTCCTACCATAGAAAGGTGTCGAATGCTTCGAAAGTCTGCACATATTTTCTGATTTGATCTGGCAGAATACAGGGGCGTGGTCTTCAATCCTTGAGACCCGATTGGCTAGGTATTTGAGGCCTCCGAACCATCACGAACGTAGCGAGAAAATGAATGTCCAAGCCCAGCTACATATTCATGCGATTAGCCACAATCCAACTTGCATGGGATGAACATAAGTTCGACAAGAATACCGAGTTGATCCATATATAACTGTTAGAATCTCCCATTACCTAGAATATTCGTCCTTTCTAACTCAGCCTTGCAGGTTCGCCGTGGAAATTACAAATCATGTTGGCCGACGATTTCAGGCTTGTCCTGTCTAAGGACCTCAGAGGCGCAATAATAGAAACTGTCATTCCCAAGAATACTGCTCCATTTGGACGAATCTAAAGTGTCCAGAATACGCTCTATTGATCCGTGCTTTGTCTTCGAGCAAGACGAAAGCATGTGGCAGATCATGGACAAAATAAAGGAAAACGACAGGGCGGAAACATTCTTGTCCAAAGCGGAAATACATTCAGCGCATCCCTGCGACATACTCCAATCCACCCTGGGAGCTGAAGCACGACAATTCGCTACTCGTGAGGGGTAGATGGGCCTATCGAGATGCACATGGATATACATACTCTGCATCAAATAACCTCTTAAAACGGTAGCGCAGCTATGAATACATCTGAAGAGAGAAAGGAGAAGATATTGCTACCATTTGTCACGGTAAAACGTTGATGTGCGTAGAAGTTGATTGCTCGAGAGCCCTTCTGGGCGAGAACTAGTTACAAGGTAGTCGCTTCGGCTAGTTACGTCATACGACGTAACAGGTTTCGTCGCGAAGTGTAGCGAACCATCAATATGAATCCACCCTTTTTCATTTGTGCCGCAAGGCCCGTAGCACGCACCCAGGTCAGAGCAAAACGCTGAGGTAGAGAGAAGAAAGAAACATTGCGGGTGGCAAAAAGAAGGGGAAGTGATGCCTCTCGCGATCGCACAGACAATCCACCTCAATCTAGGTCATCGGAAACTTGGAACCTAGCGTCTTGCTGCCATGGATAGGTCGTGGTGCATCATTCCAAAACTAGCTTCGGCATCCGAAGAATAGTCCGTAAGATGCTTGTTCCCGGGATTGGCTCCATCCAACAGAGTGCGGAATTCCCAATGCGGGATCATGTTACTACTCTCCAGTAGAGCAGCGACAACGACTTCATCATCTTCCAATCCGAAGTGAACATTTCTGGAGGAAAACTTTGGCTCCTTGTTGTATTTTGTCCTGTATTCATCGACCACATGATCTGACAGTTCCAATTTGAACCGCTGAAGAGGACCTTGAGTGGTGGGAAAGTTTGGGTGAACCTTGGTAACTTGTCGAGGAACGAGAAGGAGATAGCTGTCATTGACGTAAAGTGTATAGGGTATGTCTGGTCTGGTAGTGCTGCATTGAAACTCGGCTCCTTCAACTGGTATCATGTCAATCCACGAGAATGATGGAGAAAGCAGTGTCAACTCACAGGTTGGCATTGTGATGGATATTTTTCTTGGGTGCTGTTGAACTAGCTAAGTAATAAAGCTAGGGTCACGTGCTTGCAATGTAAACCAAGTAAACGATACTGAATTGACTGCTGTTCTACAGTGGTAAGTAGCCCGTATATATAGCCCTGAACCCCCTAAATCACATGCACTAAATCCCTATGCCAGCTGAACCGATTCCAGCCGTACAGGGTATTCCAGCTGGACAGGGTATTAAGCTAGTGCACAGCCCCATGGCGTTCGGTTCCAAGGCTTACTAAGCCTATTAGGGGCCTCAGGCCCCTAATTTCAACAGGTGCAACAACCTGATAGGTGCTTGGATTCTGAGCAGAAAGAGCAAACGTTCGTTCCTTTTGTGCGAGCGACAAAATCGATAGAAGTTGACAAACTATGGCGGCCGCTTGTCAATGTAAGATCAAGCTGTTGAAAAAATGTGTAGGAAGGATGGATTTCGCTAGCTGGGAGATCTCCTAGAAGGCCCTCAATGCACTTGACGGGAGCTACAGTCGGTCCGATCCAAAAGCGACAAAACGGTCGCTCTTTTACGCCCATAATAACTTTTTAACCACAACCCTAATTAATTAATACTAATGGTGAGATTATAGAATAGAACCAGGCGAAAAATACCTATTAATTAGATTTTTAATATCATTTGTGGTTCATTAATAATCGAGGCTTAAAGTGCACGGACCCTTTTTACTTTTTTGATTTTCCCCCATACAAAACGCGAATATATTTGCTCGCTAAGGTCACGTGATCCCGGACTTCAGGGGGAGATCGCAGCATCTCACCAGTATTATTATTAATATAATAATAATAACTAAGCCCTATAAGCTTAAGTAAACCTTCCTAAATACTAAATATAGCTTTTTCTGGTACTATATATATTATATATATAGTAGGGCCCTAATTATATGGGTTTCAAGCTAACTTTTAGCCGAACTAAATTCATAAACCTTACTTATTACTTAGCTACTTTCTTTCCCTTACTTTTATATATTATCCTATTCGTCCATTACCTTTTTAGATATCATTCTATAGCGTTTTTGCTTCCGTATATACTAAGCAGCTTGTTTAATACTTAATCCCTTCTAATATATATCTATCTAGTAAAATATATAATTATAAAACCTTTATATAGTCTCAATTAAATAAGTTTCAAGTATCTCTACTACCTTAATCTTGGCATCTGGGAAGCTAGCCTTCTTTACTTAATAATATCGAGTTTTGCTATATTTCTAGTATATCTCAATTAGGTTAATTTTATAGTAGAACTTTAGTAAAAACATAGCCTTATATTCCCGATCTATAATAAGCTCTTTAACTTGGAACTTCTCTTTAAAGAAATCTTAGTAATTTAATAATATACGAGTTAAATAGTATATTTGTTTAATAGCAGGAGGATATTTAAAGGATATAGTATACTTAGTATTCTTTAAATACTTAAATCTCAAGCCAGGTATATTATAACCTTATTTAATAAAAATCTATTTTATATTCTTAGGCTTTCTTTCTTTATTTAAATTAAATTACTAAAGAACTTAAATAGTATCTTATAATCCCGGAATTATATATTCTAATAAAAAGTATATATCTCTTCTATAGGCCTTAATATTACCCTTTTTAATTCCCTCTAGTAACTTATTTATATTAAAGGCATTTAGTATACTTTTACTATATAAAGTATATATAAAAAACTAATTAAATATTAGAATAGCTATATAGTTTAAATACTTCTATTTAAATATATTAAGTATTCTAGTAACTCATACTAATAGCTGTTTTATATCTTATTAGGAGTCTCTATTTGAGCCTAAATATATAATTTAATAGATATTTAAATCGGAATTATCCGGAATAAAAATGCCTTTATTATTTAGTATTCTAATATATTCTTTAAAGCCTATAAATTCAGAATTATAAATTAGCCTCTCTTTATTCTTTCCCGGCATTTTTTACTAATTATTTATTAGCTAGAGGCTCTTTTTATAATTAAATCTATAGAAATAGCTCTTATTATAAAAGTATATTATATATATTTATATTCTAATTAAAAGTAAAAATTAAATTATATACTATATATTAGCTTTATTCTTCTTATATTAAATTATATATAATAAAAGCTCTTTTATTAATAGTAAAAACACCTCTTAATAATACTAAATTATATTATAATTAGTTTAATCTAAAAGTAATAAAATAGTTACTTTTTTATATCTATAATAACTTTTTAATTATAACTTTAATTAATTTATATTAACTAATATAATTATAGAATAGAACTAGACAAAAAATATCTATTAATTAGATTTTTAATATAATTTATAATTTATTAATAATCGAGGCTTAAAGTATATAAACTCTTTTTAATTTTTTAATTTTCTTTTATATAAAACACGAATATATTTACTTATTAAGGTTATATAATTCCGGATTTTAGAAAGAGATCGCGATATTTTACTAGCCTTATTATTAATATAATAATAATAATTAAGTCCTATAAGCTTAAATAAATCTTCCTAAATACTAAATATAGCTTTTTCTAATATTATATATATTATATATATAATAGGGCCCTAATTATATGAGTTTTGAGCTAACTTTTAGCCGAACTAAATCTATAAATCTTATTTATTATTTAGCTACTTTCTTTTTTTTACTTTTATATATTATCTCATTTATTTATTATCTTTTTAAATATTATTCTATAATATTTTTATTTCCGTATATATTAAATAGCTTATTTAATATTTAATTCTTTTTAATATATATTTATCTAGTAAAATATATAATTATAAAACCTTTATATAGTCTCAATTAAATAAGTTTTAAGTATCTCTATTACCTTAATCTTAATATCCGAAAAGTTACCCTTTTTTATTTAATAATATTAAGTTTTATTATATCTCTAGTATATCTTAATTAGATTAATTTTATAATAGAACTTTAATAAAAATATAGTCTTATATTTCTAATCTATAATAAGCTCTTTAACTTGGGATTTCTTTTTAAAGAAGTCTTAATAATTTAATAATATATAAATTAAATAATATATGTATTTAATAATAGAAAAATATTTAAGAAATATAATATATTTAATATTCTTTAAATACTTAAATCTTAAGTTAAATATATTATAATTTTGCTTAATAAAAATCTATTCTATATTTTTGGGCTTTCTTTTTTTTATTTAAATTAAGTTACTAAAAAACTTAAATAATATCTTATAATTCCGGAATTATATACTTTAGTAAAAAGTATATATTTCTTTTATAGGCCTTAATATTACTTTTTTTAACTTCCTTTAGTAACTTATTTATATTAAAAATATTTAATATATTTTTATTATATAAAATATATATAGAAAACTAATTAAATATTAGAATATATTATAATAAAATAATTTTATAATAGTAATAAAGAGCTTAAATTAAGCTAAAGGCTATTTACTAAACTAAAAATACTAGCTATATACTAAGTTATATATAGTAATACTATATAACTAATACTATATAATAGAATAGCTATATAGTTTAAATACTTTTATTTAAATATATTAAATATCCTAGTAATTTATATTAGTAGCTATTTTATATTCTATTAAAAGTCTCTATTTAAGTCTAGATATATAATTTAATAAATATTTAAATTAGAATTATTTGAAATAAAAATGCCTTTATTATTTAATATTCTAATATATTTCTTAGAACCTATAAATTCAGAATTATAAATTAGCTTCTCTTTATTCTTTTCCGGTATTTTTTACTAATTATCTACTAGCTAAAGGCTCTTTTTATAATTGAATTTATAGAAATAGCTCTTATTATAAAAATATATTATATATACTATAGGAGAGAAACTATAATAAGATAAAAACCTATATAAAATATACTAGAATATGAAATATAACTTAATAGTAAAATAATAAATTAAAAGTATAAATAGTAAAGTTTAAATAGTAAAGTATAAATAGTATATAATATATAAAAGTTTAATTAATTAAATACTAAAAAGGAATTATTTTCTAGGATTATAGAAAAACTAGCTTTTTTATATAATTTCTATAAGTTATATATAAAAGGCTATAGCCTTTACTATATAACTTCCTGATATTATTATTTTTTAATATTACTAATTTGCTTTCAGATATAATAAGGCTTTAATTATTAATCTCTAGTAACTAGATACTATTATTTAAATATCTAATAAAGGTCTTGAAAGTCTAATTTCTTAAAATAATATTATATAATTAAATTAAAACCGCTTTCTTTAACTAAACTTTTTATTTAATAAATACTATTCTAATAATATTAAGCTCTATTATTAATTATTTATTAATATCTTTATTATTTTCGGTATTATCTTTTTATTATAAGTATCTTAATAATTTATTAGTAATAGTATATTTAATTTTTTTAATATACTTAATTTCAAAATTAAATAGTTAAATCTATACTAGCTAGTAAATAACTAGAGCTTTAGGAAAATCTATAAATGCTTTATTTAGCTATATAATAAATATATTAATATCTAGTTTAAAAATAAAATAAACTTTATATAGCTAGAATTATATTTTCTATAAATGTTTTACTAGCCCTTAGTATTCTTTTTTAATAGTATTATGCTTTTATTTAGTATTATTTTAGATTTTAGACTTATATTATATAACTTTCTTTTTCTCTTTATTATTATATTAACTAAGAATTCTGCTCTATTTATTTAGGCTAGTATTTATTACTAATATAATTATTTCCTAACCTTCTAATAGATTATAGTATAACTTATAGAATATTAAAATAATAATAAGCTTTTTTTAAAGAATTCATATAGCTTATACTTATTTATTACCCTAGTCCTATATTATATCTTTTTTTATTAAATAATAAATAGGTTTAGTAATAACTATAAAGCCTTTAATCTAAATATAATAATAAATAATA